GGCTTCTGATCGGTGCAGCGCGCCAGCCATAGTGGCCATTTGGGGAATGAACCAATGGAAGGAAGACCTTTCTCTCTTTCTCTCTTTCACTGTCTATGACTCTATCTGTGAAAAAATAAAAAAATAAATAATTTATTCAAAAGTCAGAGTTACACAGAAAGAGGAGAGGCGGCGGGGGAGGGAGAGAGGGAGAGAGAGAGGGAGGTCTTCCATCCGATGGTTCACTCCCCAGTTGGCGACAACGGCCAGAGCTGTGCTGATCCGAAGCCAGGAGCCAGAAGCTTCTTCCTGGTCTCCCACGCGGGTGCAGGGGCCCAAGGACTTGGGCCATCGTCTACTGCTTTCCCAGGCCATAGCAGAGAGCTGGATCAGAAGAGGAGCAGCCGGGACTAGAACTGGCACTCATATAGGATGCTGTCACTTCAGGCCAGGGCGTTAACCCGCTGCACCACAGCACCAGCCCCATTGCTTTTCATGATTTTTTAAGTAAACTCTTCTAGAAATAAACTCACCACAGAGGAGAGTGTGTTCTGAGCTCTCGGTGCTCAGCCCCCGAGACCACCCTGGCTGCCTCTCGCTCTTAATCACCGATTCAGCGAACGCCGAGAGGCAGGCTTTGGGCTCCAGGAAGAGCTTTCTCTGTGCCTTGATGAGACAAGGATCCCTAAGCCACCCCAGCCAGCACAATCTGAGAAGGTCACTGCAGCCAAGGACTTGGGGGCCCAAGTAGGGCCCCTCTTAGAGCTGGACAAGGAGCCCTGGGTTTGGGCTCACACCACACGCGTGGCTTTGATTGGCACCGTCCGAGCCAGAGCACAGAGCTGCAGGAGGCAGGAGCCAGCATTTGCTGGTTAAGCATAGACCCCAAAGTAACAGAAACAAGGGACCCCCCAGCCCAGGGGCTCTTCTTGCCCCCGCAGCTGTAGAGGCCACCTCTGTCTGTCTGTCCACTCCTGTTCTGCCCCTGCTTCACGCCCATGGAGTGTGCTTTCCTGGGGCCCAATGCCCACCACACTGGGCGCAGGGCAGTGATACCTGCTGCTAGACTGACAGGGAGGTGAGATTCGTGCTCAAGGGTGCCCCTCCAGGCCTGATGGGGGCTGGGGCTTCTCCTGGAAGTGCTTCCCAGCTTGGCTTCTCCCCTCCACCCCCACGCCCACCTGGCCATGAGCCACCTGCACGGGGATTCTTCTCCTAGAGGCACCTGACCTAAGACCTTGCGATTGCAAGAAAAGTGCACCTGTAGCAAAAAGCAAGAATCTCAATGGCAGTTGTGTCAGAAGGGAGCCCCTGAGTGTGCGCCCAGGAAACCCCACATAAAGGCGCCCTCCCTGCAGTGCCAGGTTCTGAGGGGATGGGACGCATGGGGTAGCGTCCAATCAGGCCTGCAAACCTGCCCAGTGCCTTTCGTCTGACGTCGCTTGTTCCCCTGGCCCTCGCGGGTTTGCTGTGGTCCTGGGGTTGTGTATGTATATGCGGGGCCATGTGTCCCGAGGTGGAGGAGGGGCAGCTCATTCTGGGTGCGGGAACCAGGGGACTTGGGCGCCAGGCTCAGTGTGACCTTGGGCAAGTGACTGAGGGAGCTCTGAAGTCACTGCTGCCTCTGCCGCTCCAGGACCAGGCCACATCCTCTCTTTAGGAGGGAGTGGGGTGCCGCGGCGGCTCACTAGGCTAATCCTCCGCCTTGCGGCGCCGGCACACCGGGTTCTAGTCCCGGTCGGGGCTCCAGATTCTGTCCTGGTTGCCCCTCTTCCAGGCCAGCTCTCTGCTGTGGCCTGGGAGTGCAGTGGAGGATGGCCCAAGTGCTTGGGCCCTGCACCCCATGGGAGACCAGGAGAAGCACCTGGCTCCTGCCATCGGATCAGCGCGGTGCGCCGGCCACAGCGCGCCAGCCGTGGCGGCCACTGGAGGGTGAACCAACGGCAAAAGGAAGACCTTTCTCTCTGTCTCTCTCTCACTGTCCACTCTGCCTGTCAAAAAAAAAAAAAAAAAAGGAGGGAGTGGGGTAAAGGGGCCACAGGGAGGGTCTGGGTCAAGCAGATGGCCAGGGGGTGGCTTACCCAGAATGCACAGCAGTCTTTTCTGGACTCCTGGCTTCGACCTGGCCCAGATCCCGCTGTTGTGGGCATTTGGGAGATCTCTATCTGTCTCTCTGCCTTTCAAATACATTTTTAAAATATTTTTTAAAAATCCATGTTAAAAAAATACCTCCTTCCAAGAGTGGTATCATTGACACCCTCCTGCCTTCCAGGATATGCATATGCAGATTCATCGGCCATGAAGTTCAACCCTAGGGCAGGGCTTTAGAGGCTGGTGTTCATTTTTTTTTAAAAGATGTATTCATTTATTTGAGAGGCAGAGTTTCAGAGACGCAGAGGCAGGGACACACAGAGAGAGGGCTTCCATCCACTGGTTCACTCTCCAAATGCCCACAACGGCCGGAGCTGCGCCAATCCAAAGCCAGGAGCCAGGAGCTTCCTCCGGGTACAGGGGCTGGAGCACTTGAGCCATCTTCTACCGCTTTCCCAGGCCATAGCGGAGAGCTGGATCAGAAGTGGAGCAGCCAAGTCTCGAACTGGCGCCCCTATGGGATGCTGGCGCTGCAGGACACGGCTTTACCAGCTACCGAAGCGGGTGTGTGTGTAACTGAGGCCTGGGACTTGAGTGCAATGGCACAAGGCAGGGAAACCCAGCCAGGACAGCGGCTTGTGAAAGTGACTCTGCAGCACGTGGCTCGAAACCAGGTGGCCCCACGGGGTGGCCAGGAGGCCAGGAGGCGAAAGGCCTCATTGTGGCTGGAGTGTTAAAAGCCTCGGTTTACCCTTCTCCCACTCAGGGGGACATAAAAGTGTCTTTGGTTGGGACAGAAACCGGGTGTTGGAGAAAGGCACACAGTGCGTTCCTGACCGCCCCGCACTTCTCCCCGGAAGGAACACCTTGGAAAGCATCTGAGTCCATGTGGTCCCAGGAGCCCCTGCAGCCCCACTGTGCGCACGGGAGCCTTGCGTGCTGTTCCCACGGAGCCACACGAGACACGGCAGGGAGCGCCTCGTCCTGTCTCTACCCCTTCATGTGCGCTTTCCCCACCAGCACGACCAGTGCCTGGGGCTGGGGGCGGGGGCTCACTGGTTCCCACCAGCTGGGGAGGGGACAAGCTCCTGCCCTGTCCCCTGCCACCCACACCACCCCACCTTGGCCCTCCTCTTCCTCCTCTGCTGTCCACCCACTTCCCCGACTTCTGAGACACAAACAGGAGGAGCGGGCTGCAGAGACAGGGCTAACGGAGATGGGGCTAACGGAGATGGGGCTAACGGAGACCAGGCGGAGGAGAAACCTCAGGAATGCAAGGCACGCGGCTGCCATCTGGGGCCCTCCCTGGCAGAACCTGGAGCGTGAAGCGCTTGCGACTGAGAGCTGGAGGCTGGACTGGTTCCATGTGATGCTGTCGGGGCTTCCTCTGGCTTCCTTCCAAAGGGGACTGGAACCATCCTTGGTCCCTCGCGGTTGCACGAGTGGTTATGACATGACCTGCGGAGAGGCGCCGCGTGGGTCCTGAGCACCTGCTCCGGTTGGGCGTGGGGCTCTTGGGCGAGGATGAGCCTGGCCTCTGAGTCACATGACTGCCCAGCCTGCGGGGAGCCACACGCTGTGGTCTCTGAAGTGGATCGGTGAGCCGTGGCCTCCAACCTCAGCGGCCAGCGGGATCCTTCCTGAGCTGTGGGACAGACGCTGTTTCTGTTTCCCCAACTTGGCCACGGGCAGCCTCAGGTTCAAGTTCTGGTTCATCTCTGAGCTGTTCCCATGATCCCTGGGGAAGGGCAAATGAACGAAACGGAGGGAGAGAGACAAGAGAGAGGGAAGAATCCGTTCTGCTCAGCACCCGGGTGTGTGATCCCCACAGGCACGCATGGCCCCGTGTAGTGTCCGCAGTTCGCGAGGGTCAAGACTCCCGCGCCCACCAACCCACCAAGAGGAGAGCTTAAAACCCAGCCGAGCTGGGCCTCTCTCCGACAGGGTGTTTGCCTGTGTAACCTCAGGCCGCAGGCTCGGTCTGGGTGCCTTCAGATGAGCCAGGTCTCAGCCCTCCGGTCAGGCCAACCGAGCCCCACTCCCTGAACCCCAGGCGTGACTGGCCCACTGTGGCTTGAAACAAGGCCCAGGAAAAGCCGGCGGGCCCCGGGCTCCCCGAGCTGGGAGGCTGGGCTCCAGTGGGAATTGCCGAGAACCAGAAGGCCGTGAACTTGGCAAGTCACTCTCAGCGAGCTTTGGTGTTCTACTGTAAGGCGGAAATTCTTGTCTATCAAACCCGATATTTTAGGAGAACAATGCAGAGGGGGGTTATGGGTGACGCCTCTGAGTAGAAGGGGACTTGCTGGGTGTGGCCTCAGGGCCAACAGGGCAGGTGTCTGCTGCCCCACCCAGCGAGTGTGGAAACGCACGGAAGGGCCTCGCCTGTCTGTTATCTGGCCCCTGTCTGTCATCTGGCCCCTGTCTGTCCTGTGCACGGGTCTGTCACCCCTGCATGTCCTCGGTGCCAAGGCAGCAGCTTGATCTTCCAAGGTGTCACCCCAAGGGGCTTACCCCCGAAAGGGGAGCACCCCCCACACAGCCCTCTGTAGCCCATGAGGAAGAGCCACTGAGGTCACGTGGGCTGCTGTGGCAGGGGTAGAGAAGTGACAGATGTGAAGCCCCTTGGTCAGGGCTTGGCACATGAACCTGCCACCTCCAGTCAACAGGGGTTCTTCTGATGTCCGTGGAATAGCACTTACTTGTTTGACAGATGAGGGGTAGACCATTGTCAATGCCCACCTTTCTCTGGAGTTGGGGGGGTGGGGGGCATGTGCTGCACTGTTTCTTTAAAAAAAAAAGTGGCAAGGTAGTTCTCCCTGGAGCTGGATTAATGATTGCACGTCTCCTGTTACCAGGGGCTTGTAGGACCAGGATTGACAGCTGTTTCGGCTGAACGGTTTGTTTAACAAACACAGCAGGACGCACACGATCCCCTGGCTGCCTGCTTTCATTCCCGTCTCGAAGGATGGCACTGTGCCGGCTCACAGCCCGCGGCTCCCACCCTTGGGCAGAGGTGCCAAGGAATTGTGGCTTCAAACTGATACCAAGTAGAACCCAGAGATGCTTGCTCTCCCTCCCGCTGACGTCACTCCATGCCTGCAGCCACTCCAGGTCCCTGCGTCCTTCCCCGGGCTGGCACCTGAGTATCCAAGACTCTGCAGACACGCTGTGGGAGCACTGGTGTGCACTGCCCGCTTATCCGAGTCTGGCCTGGTGCTACAACTTCAGATTCTCTCTCTGCTTTGAGCGTCACAGCAGCCCTCACAACAGGTGAGGGTGGGGACACACCTCACCTGCTCCAGCTCCCCACAGTTGCAGGTGACAGGGCTGGAAAAGACCCAAAGGCCCCCCACCCCCGTATCTGGCCCCCAGCCCAGGGGCACCTCCTTGGGGGATCTGGGTGGGTCGGGATAGGAAAGGAGATTCCAACACAGGTGGTCCCAGGATTGCAGATGGAGAAGCTGAGATATTGGGGTGTGTGGATGCGAGCTGGTTGGCGGGCTGAGGATCAGAGTGGTGGGAAATAGAGTCTCTTGTAACATTGTATGTGTTCATTTGTTTGCTTATCCCTTTCTGCCTTTGCATCAGGCACACATTTAACCCAAGGGCAATCGCGAGCTGAGACATAGACTGGAGGTCACTGGCATCCCGTGGGTGAAGGGGCAGGAGGCAGATTGGCATGGGCAGAGGAGTGAGTGGGGGTTGAGGACACAGAGCCATGGGTGGCGCTGACATTTGCATGAAGGGAGGGGGGCTGTGGGTGGGGGAGGGAGAAACAGAAGGCGGAAAAGGGACAGGGGTTTTGAACGCAGTGGCGGGTGGCGGGTTGTGTGCAGCTGTTGGTAGGAAGAGGGCAATGGCACAGCACAGGCTGCGAGGTGGGAGTTGCTTGGCGGGGGTGGGGTGCACAGCAGGATGCAGAGCCCGAGAGGGACTGCCTGAGACGGAGCTGATCTTCATCCCGGCACCGGGGCTACGGCGGCCACATCCCAGCTCCGCACATCTGCGTGTGTGGCCCCAGCCCGTGTCTGAGGTTTTCTGTGCCTCAATTTCTTCATCTGTGAAGTGGGGTGCACACCAGCACCTGCCCCCCAGGACAACCAGGAGGACGTGAAGTAACACAGGCACAGAGCTTCATGGCAAGAGTTGGACACGCAGCATCTGCTGCTGTCGTTATTAAAACCGGGAGACCGAGGAGAGGGTGGAGGCGTCTCGGGGCGGCTGGGAGGCTTGGGGTTGTCCTCTGCGCCTGGGAGGAGGAGCCGCAGAGGGAGCTGTCCCAGGAAAAGCTGTGGACCTCGGGCAGTGGCGGGGCCGGCTGAGTCTCAGAGCAGCAACAGCTGTGTCCTGGCACAGCGAAAATCACTTCCGTCGTGCACGCTGGGGAGCAGGAAGTGAAGACGAGGGGGGCTGATACAGGGCGGCCTGGGCTGCAGTCTCCGAGGGGAAGTCATCTGGCAAGCTGGGCTGTGTCCATGCTGTCCTGGCTTTGCTGCCGGACCCTGGAGCCCTTCCGCAGTGCTCAGCCACTGTTCGCTGAAGCCCACGTTGGGGGTTGAGGGAAGTAACTGAGCAAGTCAGCCAGCAGGAGGGGCTTGTGGTCAGCAGCGAGAGGGCTGGGCAGGGCTGACAAGGCTCGGAGTTTGCCCAGGACAGTGAGGGGGCGGATGGCATTGGGGATGTAGGGTCTGCGGGATGGGGGAGAGGGCAAGAAGATACAGGAGGGTCTCCCTGTGGGCCTGCAACTCACTGGGACCAGTGAGAGGATCTGAGATGTAGACAAGGGCTGCGAATCCATGGCAGTGTCTCCAGGGGATGGGCTGGGGGCTGTGACCTGCCACTTAATGAGGTGGGGGAAGGTGGGACAGCTGGGGGGGGGGTGGGGCAGCAAGTCCAGAGGGTGGAGCAGTGGGGTGGAGACTGCCAATGCTGCTCACAGCCCCTCGGCCACTTCTGAGTCACCACTGGCCGAGATGGCCAGGTTCTGTCCAGGGCTCTGCGTTTGCCTTAAGGTTCCAGTCTCTCCTTCCCTCCGAGAGCTTCCCCTGGCCATAGCGGGATGCTCAGTCCTCCTCCAGCACTGCCCAGAAGGAACAGGGCTGGGGATCGCTGGGGGCGATCCTTCCCCAGGATAGCTGCCCCTGGCCCTGTCTCTAACTCTGCTTTAGGGAAACCCAGACCAGGGGGCACACACCCTGCCTGATGGTGTAGGAGGCTGGGCAGCCCTCCCAGGACACAGGGGTCCCTTCTCCCTTGGAAGGAGGAGCTCAGGGCAAGGGAGAAGATGCTGAGGGTCCCAGGGGACTGGACGTACCACAGGGAGAGCCAGGCCCGTGACCCGGGAGGACTGGTTGTGGCAGAACGGGTCCCAGCTGCACACCATCCGGTGTCCCAGAACTCAACTGTCCTGGTTCACTGATGATCGTTTGGACCAGGAGACAGCTCACCGTGGCCACTACCTGAGTCTGTGGCCCCCCCAGCCACGCCCCCCCAGCCACGCCTGTCCTGTACAGGTGGCCTCCAGGGAACAGGCTCCTGGGAAGCAGGGTCCTGGTCATCACTGGCTTACAGGTGACGCAGAGCATGAGCCGCTTGCCCGATGCCGTGCAGGAGGTGCCGAGGTTGAGATGGAATCAGCCAGCTGTGCCCATGACCGTGGCTCCAGCTCTACCGTGGTCTGTTCCAGCCTACCTGTGTGCATAAACTCCATGTGAGTGAAGGGCCTGGGCCAGCTGGGCTCTCGGGCCCTTCCCTGGGAGAAAAGTCTGTGTATTTGTTGGGCCCTGTGCCGTGTATGCTCCCTCACCCCGTCCCCATGCCCGATTACCCACCAAGGGTTGACCACACTTACCAAACAGCTCATTATTCAGACTCCACCACCTTCTTCGTGGCCTTTCTGAACACTCTGAACCCAGTCTCCCCGGCCAGGACCTCATGGCTCCCTCTGACTGCTCCGCTCTGCGGTGACAGGTGCACAAGCCCGCCTGGGGCAGCAAACCCGCGCCGTGGTCCCTCGGACAAGACGTGCAGATGGCCTGAGCTAAGTGATGGACTGGGTACTTACGCCACCAGTTTGCAGCGGAAGCTGTTCTGTTAGGAGCACAGGAGACAGGAGGAAGCTACAGGGTGAGCCAACGGCCGCGTGGTGGTACCAAAGTGAAGGTCGTGTTCTGACCTGGGCGAGGCCTGTCTGATAGCAGTACTGCTCCTTTAAATCTTCTATTTAATTTCTTTTTTATGCAGCAGCTCTTGTTCTATGCATACACGTTGGCGGCTCTTGTGCCAATTACCCTCCTCCCCCCACAATGAAATGCATAACACAGCTCTAGCGCAACTAACGCTCCCGTTCTGAGCATAGGATGCTGGCACCGGTGACAGCTGCAGTGCCGTGTAACAAGCATGACTCGATGCACCCAGCTCCTGAGGGCCAGGACCAAAGCTCTCTTCTGCAACACGTGCTTGACAGAGGCATCTAACTGTGGGATTCTCAGGGAACAAGGCCTGGACTATCAGACACAACCCCTACTCCATTTTCAGGGAGCATCTACACTGTTCACACTCCGTGTCATACTAACAACGTCCAGCGTTTGTGGGGTTAATCTGTGTTTTCAAAACACATCAAAAGGCTTCATTAAGCAGCAAATATCTTTTCCTTATAAAAAGAGCTTAAAATACAGCCCATCAAAACACGATTCTAATTTGGTCACCTGCTTTTTGGAGTCAGTTCTTGACACTCAGGCAAAATATGGAGTTGAGGTGATTATCTGAATTATCCAGGATGCAGAATTTTGGCCCAAATCATCACATTCCTAGAGAACAAAGAGTATCTGTCAGTTCAACCAAAAAGCAGAAAAATGGAACACTTTGCTCTTTTTCTACATGAAATAGCATATATGCCGCCTCCTTTTCTGTGCGCTAATTGGCTAATGAATTCTGCTTGACTCCGCACAGATGGAGAAAAATCCTAAGAGGCAGCCACTCCCTTTGCTGAGGCTGGCGAGGTCTCTGTTCTGCAAAGGCCGTCTGGTGCCGGCTGCCCCCCTGCACCCCCTGCGTCCCCTGGACCCCCTGCACCCCCACGGAGAACGTTCCCACCTTGATTCGTCGCCAACCTCTTTGTGGAGCGAGCTTCCTTCTCCACCCCTCCCTTTCACCTGGAAACGGTTCCATGAACATAGACCCAACCGCAGAGAACTTCCTTTTACACCCAAGTGCTTTATTCTTCCAAGGATGCGGGGCTTGGAAGTCACCCACAGAGCCCATACTAACGTTAGCAATTGCGCGGCTTACTTTCGACAGCGCACGTTAGGAGGAAAGCAAGCTCTGACCCTACAAAGCGAGCGTTTAGCCCGAAGCACTGTCTTCCGTTCACCAAACAAGACATTTCTGCCCGAGGCAACTTTGACGTTGACGAAAATGCAACAAGCCCCGACTGGAGGGGAGGAGAGGTGTGGGAGGTCAGCTGGGTCCTGTGTCTTTTTTAAAGAATAAAATGATGGGGCCAGCGCTGTGGCACTGTGGGCTAAGCTTCTGCCTGCGGCGCCGGCATTCCATATGGATGCCGGTTCGAAACCCCGCTGCTCCACTTCCAATCCAGCTCTCTGCTATGGCCTGGGAAAGCAGTAGAAGATGGCCCAAGTCCTTGGGCCCCAGCACCTGTGTGGGAGGCCTGGAAGAAGTTCCTGGGGAGTGAACCAGCGGATGGAAGACCTGTCTTCTCTGTCTCTCCCTCCCTCCCTCTCTCTGTAACTCTACCTCTCAAATAAATAAATAATTTTTTTTAGAAAAAGAAAAAGAATAAAACAATGGATCACCAATGAATGAGGATCCAAGAAGAACGGACGTCTCTGAGCATCCAACTCTGGAATCCTCCAAGTGTAAGGCTTCGGGGGTCATAGAGCTTGTGCAGCAACGCGGTGTGTCCAGGATAAAGTCTGGACGATGTTCGGGCCCCGTTCTTGACTCCGCCCAATGCGATGATGCCAGGACTGGAGCCACAAGGCTTGGTCCACGCCTCCCTGCACGAGGAGCCATCCGCTGATTCATCTTGATTTCGATGCTGCTGACACCTGCTCTGAGTGCCCTGTTCCCATGGCAACCAAGGGGAAGCATCCTTGTCCACATCCTTTCAGAACCTCATTAAATCAGGCGGCAGGGCCGCAGCTGTGTCTCCACGCGTTTCTCTGACAGCCGTGGACTAATTTTACGACGCTCAGGTGATTTTGGGTGCTTTCTAGGCCAGACTGTTGAGAATGTGTAGAAAGTAAGACAGATGGCAGGACAGATAAATATTGCCAAAGTGTTTAATGCACACAAATTTTCTGAGAGGTGCAAACCAACAATGGTGTTTTTATTGACTGAGGTGATTTGAAGCCAAATAATGGATATGATGGGGATAGAAGCCCTTGGAATGCCCCGGGCTTGGCATGCACAGCTCACGATACCAGGTTCCCTGGTGTGTCTCTCAGGTGGCTGCCGGCCCCAGCTGGGAAGAGGCACAATCCAGAACTTTCTCCTCCCCACCACCTTGTCATCTGCCAGATTTAGGGAAACCTAAAGGATGCTCCTTAAATACCACACACACTTGAGTGTGCACACACACCCCAGGATAGAGATGTATGAGTAAACCTAAATGTCAGTCCAATATTCCTTCTTTTTTTTCCAAAGATTTATTTTATTTATTTGAAAGGCAAAGTTACAGAGAGAGGGAGAGACAGAGAAAAACAGGTCTTTCACCTGTTGGTTCACATCCAAATGGCAGCAACAGCTGGGGTTGGGCCAGGCCAAAGCCAGGAGCCAGGGTCTCCCACATGGGTGCAGGGGCCCAAGCACCTGGGCCATCTTCTACTGCTCTCCCAGGCACGTTAGCAGGGAGCTGGATCAGACGTGGAGCAGCCGGGACTTGAACCAGTGCACATACGGGACGTCGGTGCTGCTGCCGGCAGCTTAACCTGGTGAGCCACAATGTCGGCCCCCACTATTCCTTTTATACCACACGATCACACACACTTGCATATACACGCGTGTACACACACACAGACACACACACAAACTCCAAGATAGAGATGTCTGAGTAAATAAACATTAGTCCAAAGCCAAATTTATACCAAAATGCCAAGAAGACCCACACCTCTCCAAGTTGAGGATGGCTGAGCAAGTATGGAACAAATTATTTGTTCAGTATTTATTTACTTATTTATTTGAAAGGATGATAGAGAGGTAATTTGAAGCCAAATAGAGACAGACAGAGAGGGAGAGAGGGAAAGAGAGATCTTTCATTCGCGGTTCACTCCCAAATGGCCAAAACAGCCGGGGCTGGTCCAGGCCAAAGCAGGAGTCTGGAACTCCACCTGGGTCTTCCACAGGTGGGTAGCGGGGCCCAAGTACTTGGGCCATCTTGTGCTACCTCCCTGGGTGCATTAGCAGGAAGCTGGATTGGAAGCAGAGCAGCCGGGACTTGAGCCAGCGCTCTGATGTGGGACGCCAGCACTGCAGTCGTAACCCACGGCACCGCAGCGCTGGCCCCTGGACTAACTGGCTTCAGTGGGAATCACCCACAGCCAGAAGGGAGTTCGTGGACTCTGCCTTCACCTACAGGCTTCTTCTTCAGCTCTGGGGCTGGGCTTCGTGGGCTCCCAGCCTGCCCCGCTGCTGACAGGAGCCTGGTCTTGGGCAAGTTGTCTAAGCTCTCAGCTCTGCAGTTGCTTCTCCCATCACCTGCAGAGGATCTTAGTTCCTGTTGCACAGGGTGAGTCTGAGGATGGGACCAGTTCCTCCCCACCGAGAGCTCAGAACAGTGCCTGATGCCCACGAAGCACCGCTCAGGGGTTGGCCAGCTGAGCCGTTCCTCCTGCTTCTGCCATTCTGAATGTCGTTGATTTCATAAGCTCCTTTATGTATCGGTTACAAGCAAATACATTCGCTTTGCAGAAAGTTAGACCTGTTCCCAGCTCCCTGATCTCTGGCGGCTTACTAGCTGTGCCACCCTGTGTTGTGTCCTAGCCGCCCTGAGCCCCAGCGGCCCATCTGTAAATGGCAGATCCCTCTCCGGGGCCTCAAGGGTGAAGGTGAGTGGCACATGTACAACAGGGAGCTGAGCCACGGGAACCACGAGGATCACGTGTCCTCGGGATTGAGAGGTCATCACTCACGTCTGAAGTTGGTACAATCTCAGGCACGCAAGGCTTTGTCTTATTTCACAGAGAAGATGAAAACAGTATCGCGTGATGAAACAGGGCAAATAGGTTGTGGGTTGTACCTGTGCAGGGGGAGGGCGGAGGAGAGCCCTCCTGGAAAGCCGCCTCTTGCCCCTGTTGGGTGTGGATGCAGCCCTTGCAGATTTCCTACTACCCAGCCTTCATGAATTGCATACCACACTGTTCCCTGTGCAACAGAAGTGTAGGGGTTAGAGGATGCTGGAGTTGGAGCTGTCCCCAGCTACCCCAGCTCTCTGTCTCTGTGATGTCACAAGCTGTCCCTTTCCATTCTGCAATTGAGCAAGGGTCAAAGGTCATCAGTTCACTCTGCTATGTAGAGTAGAAAGTCCCTGTTGGAAGGTGGGGAGGACCAAGGCCCAGGAGTGGAGACCGTAGGCTGGGAGAATGTGAGGCAGCTGCAGTGACCTGGAGCACAGCCGTCCCTCAACCTGCTCCGCCCGGGCTCTGGGACTCTGCCCGCTCCTCTCCGAGCTATGCTGAGCGGGGTTGACTGGGAGAGGCATCTGCAGAGAATGGCATCGCCCGTGTCGGCAGGAGCCATGCAGGAAGTCCTGCGGTAGCGGCTCAGGTCCCTTGCGCACTGTCCCCATCCTGGGAGGAACTTGTGGTCCAAAGGGAAAGAGAGTCTGCTACAGACGGGGTGAGGATGGAACAGAAAGGGAACAGGGTGGGGGCTGGAACGTGTGCTCCAGGAGCCCGAGTGAGACTGGTGTGGGCTGCAGGAGAGGGCACTGGGCAGAAATCCACACGGGGCCTTAGGCAGAGACTCCGCCCTCCCTTCTCCTGACTCGCTCCCGCTGTGTGGGAATGGGGGCCTGCAAGGCAAGCTTGCAGAAATGCAGAGAGAAGAATTAAAAACAAAGGCACTGCCCAGGTAACTATCTGCTGTCTTGGTGAATTGATTCCTTCTTGTTTTCCTCTGTTCATTTGGCTTTACTGAGGTGTGATCACGTGGTATATTTTATCTTGATTTTCCAGTTAGCATGAAAACATGCGCATTTTCATGCCCTTGTGAAATCTTTGTGCACACCAGTTTATGACCATGTAAGGCTCCGTTCTGCTGTAATGCGTCCAGCCTATTCCCCAGGTTGTTTTCCAGCCTTTGCTGTTGTAAGCGATTCGCAGAAGACATCCTTGCACTGAGGGCAGCACCCCCAAACCAGCCTTCTCTACAAAGAGCGTGGAAGACGCCGTCCCAGGTGAGTGGGGGACAGCAACAGCAAGGTGTCCGTGCTCCACCTAGTCGGGGAACGGCTGCCAACTAAGCAAAGCTATGTTAAAGAAACGGGCTTCTTCCTGCAGGAATTTTATTTATTTGTTTGAGAGGCAGAGAGACACAGACAGCTCTCGTCCACTGGTTCACTCCCCAGATGTGCACAATGCTGGAGTCCAGGACCTCAATCCAGGCCTCCTGTAGTAGCATGATGGACACTTGTCAATTTAGTTAGAGGTATGTCTTTTTATTTCTTGTGAAAACATATTTGGAGTGCCTTCCAGACTCATTTTAAATGACTCACACCTATCTGGTATCAAAACCAGACAAAGGCAACTCAAGTTGTCCTCACTCATGACCAAAGATGCAAAATAAAATAAAAATAACCAGCAAGCCAGCTGCGCCGGGATGCAAATAGGTTAAAGCGCAGAGATCACTCACTCCTGGTACCTCTGCTAACGCCAATCATTGCCCTGAAGATCAAAGCAGAAAATCACAAATGATTATCTCAAGGGACTTCTAGATATCCTACAAAATTTCAGATTTGACTCTAGATTTTTTTTTTTTTATTTGACAGGTAGAGTTATAGACAGAGAGAGAGAGAGACAGAGAGAAAGGTCTTCCTTCCATTGGTTCACTCCCCAAATGGCCGCTACGGCCGGCGCTGTGCTGATCTGAAGGCAGGAGCCAGGTGCTTCTCCTGATCTCCTATGCGGATGTAGGGCCCAAGTACTTGGGCCATCCTCCACTGCACTCCCGGGCCACAGCAGAGAGCTGGCCTGGAAGAGGAGCAACCGGGACTAGAACCTGGAGCCCATATGGGATGCCAGTGCCTCAGGTGGAGGATTAGCTAAGTGAGCCACAGCACCGGCCCCTAGATTTTGTTTTTTAAAAAAACAACTGTTAGAAAATAGTTACAAAATAAAGGTCTGGGGGTGGGGGTTTGGTGCAGAGGCTTGGGTTCTGCTGGGGATGCCTGCATCTGAGGTTGGAGTGTGGGGTTGGAATCCTGGCTCCTCTGCTTCTGAGCCATCTTTCTGCCAGTGTGCATTCTGGGAGACAGCAGACAATGGCTCAAGTACTTGGGTCCCTGTTAGCCTCACGGGAGGTTTGAATGGAGTCCCAGGCTCTTGGCTTCGGTCCACCTTGGCTGTTGCGAAGATTTGGAGAGTGAACCAGTGGATGGAAATGCTTGCTCGTTCTGTCTCTTTGTCTCTCTACCTTTCAAATAAAATGAAAATAAATAAACAAATAAAAATAAAGCTTTTGAGATGACCTAGGATATCTGTTAGAATACAACAGATTCTCACCTAACAGCATTGCACTAAAGATAGTCGGACTGAAGCCAGTAAAACACAGAGAGTCGTCCCTAGGTTCCATCCTTCTATACTGTGCTGTGTTCTGGAGCGAGAGAACGTGAAAGACATAAAAGTCTGAAATCATCATTAATAACAGATTATATGATGGACTCTGGAAATCCAAGAGAGCCAAGTGAATAATTATATAACCAATTTTACAATTTAGCATGCTGGCTATTTTTCTAAATAGATACAAGATGAATATACAAAAACAACTGCTTTTCTTATAACGATGATAATAAACTAGAAAGTAGAGTGGAAATAGAAATCCTATTCACAATAGCAAATGAAAGCTGAAAGGTTTTGGCACGAATTTGATAAATGTAAAACTTTATCGTGAAAACCAATGACAAAGCTTTTTGGAAGAGTATTGTGTCATTCCTGAGCAAACAGAGCAAGATGGTGTGTTCAGATCAGGAATTTCAATATTGGAAACACTTCTCTTCCCAGAACCTACTTCACACGATGTCCACCATCATCCCAATCTTCTTACTGTTTTTATAGTTGTTACTATTTCATTTTTTCTGAATGAATCAACCTGAAATTTCACCAGAATAGAAAGTCATCTTGCCAATGGCTTGTCCTCCCTCACTGGGGTAGAGCGAGGCGGGGCAGAGGGTTCACCCAGGAGGGAGAAGTCCTCCGTCTTGGGATTGTAACTTCAAGTGATGCTTCACTGAGAACTTGGGGAAAGCAGAATGCTCGCTCATCGGATGGAGATGCCTGGCAGGAGTCCCACCTCAGGGGAAAGAGAAGCAGACAAAACGAAAAAGAGAAAACAAGAGTGAAAGATCCATGGATTCAGGATCGGAACCAGGATCACCAGTTCTGCCACAACGTGAAACTCCGGATGGATCGTCCTTCTGTAAGGGATCAATCGGCTTAAAAATCCAAACCCCGGCTGGCGCTGTGGCTCACTAGGCTAATCCTCCGCCTTGCGGCGCTGGCACACCGGGTTCTAGTCCCGGTCAGGGTGCCGGGTTCTGTCCTGGTTGTCCCTCTTCCAGGCCAGCTCTCTGCTGTGGCCCGGGAGTGCAGTGGAGGATGGCCCAAGTGCTTGGGCCCTGCACCCCATGGGAGACCAGGATAAGTACCTGGCTCCTGCCTTCGGATCAGCGTGGTGCGCCGGCCGCAGCACACCGGCCACGGCGACCACTGGAGGGTGAACCAACGGCAAAAGGAAGACCTTTCTCTCTCTCTCTCTCTCTCTCTCACTGTCCACTCTGCCTGTCAAAAAACAAAAAACAAAACAAACAAACAAAAAATCCAAACCCCACTCCACAATGTTTATGAGAAACATGTGGAGACCAAGTTTTATAAAAGTTTGAAAACACGAGTAATCGAAGAGCTGACAGACAGCAGCATATGAAAGAAAGTTGACGAGGCAATATTCACATCGCAGAATGGGATTCTACATCCCAAGACTAAATAGAATAAGGAGGTCCATTGTGTAAGGAGAAAGGCCAATTTATGCAGAAGAGGGTGCTCATCACAAAGCCGTGTGCCCCCACCATGTAGCAACCAAAGCTAAAATTGTCATGCAAAGAAAATTTCACTTTAAAACGTCATTGTGATTGGATACAGATATAAAATAATGATGTAAGGGATTGAATCATATCACCAATACCTCTGACTCCATCAGCGTTCCTTAGGCCTATGTACCTCAAAAGGAATGTGATTTTTTGTCCCCTAGGTACAGAAACAGTTTACAAAGATCACTCATGTTCCACTTGGTCATAGAGAAGCTGACAAACTCAGAAACCTTACATTGAAAGGTTACATTGTTAACCAACTTTAAAAATTATGGATAAATAATTAAATGTTTATGAATATCTTGTAAAATAAGACTCATAATCCCAGCTAATCATTGGGTCAAATAGAAAATTAAAGGGGAATAGAAACTACTTAGAACATAATGAAGAGAACACAGATTCTAAAAATCTGTGCCACAAATGGCCCAGAAAACCATACAATGAACCAATCTTTGCTGAGGTGCCAAGAACACACAATGGGCAAAGGACAACCTCTTCAATAACCCGTGTTAGAAAAAGTGAGCGTCTACGGCCGGCGCCGCGGCTCACTAGGCTAATCCTCCGCCTAGCGGCGCCGGCACACCGGGTTCTAGTCCCGGTCGGGGCGCCGGATTCTGTCCCGGTTGCCCTTCTTCCAGGCCAGCCCTCTGCTGTGGCCAGGGAGTGCAGTGGAGGATGGCCCAGGTGCTTGGGCCCTGCACCCCATGGGAGACCAGGAAAAGCACCTGGCTCCTGGCTCCTGCCACTGGATCGGCGCGGTGCGCCGGCCGCAGCGCGCCGGCCGCGGCGGCCATTGGAGGGTGAACCAAAGGCAAAGGAAGACCTTTCTCTCTGTCTCTCTCTCTCACTGTCCACTCTGCCTGTCAAAAAAAAAAAAAAAAAAGTGAGCGTCTACAAGCAAAAGAATGAACTTGGATCCTTAGCTCACACCATCCACAAAAGTCAACTCAACATGGATTATGTGTTTAAGTGTAAGACCTGAGGGGCCGGCGCTGTGGCGCAGCGGGTTAATGCCGTGGCCTGAAGCGCCGGCATCCCATATGGGCGCTGATTCGAGACCGGGCTGCTCTACTTCCAATCCAGCTCTCTGCTGTGGCCCGGGAGTGCAGTGGAGGATGGCCCAAGTACCTGGGCCCTGCACCCCATGGGAGACCAGAAGCACCTGGCTCCTGCCATCGGATCAGCGCGGTGTGCCGGTCACAGCACGCCGGCCACAGCGGCCACTGGAGGGTGAACCAACGGCAAAAGGAACACCTTTCTCTCTGTCTCTCTCTCTCACTGTCCACTCTGCCTGTCAATAAATAAATAAATAAATAAAAAATCTTAAAAAAAATAATGAGCAAAGGATTTAAATAGACTTTTTCCAAATAAGGCATACAAATGGCCAACAGGTACAGTATACAAAAGTGCTCACATCAGTAACCACCAAACACCAACAGCACCACACTGGGCCAGCCTCGCACCTGTAAGGACTGCTCTGATCAAAACGACCATAGATAACGAATGTTGGCAAGACTGAAGAAAAGGAGTCCATGTACACTGTTGGTGGCAGTGGAAATTGGTACAATCATTATGGAAAATGGTACGGCGCTTCCTCAAGAAGTTAAAGACTCAGAGAACTCTCATCTGATCCAGAAATCCACTCTTAGGTCTGTGTCCACAGGAAGTGAATCAGCATATCGGAGCGTCACCTGCACTCCCACATTCATTGTATCATTAATTCATTATCCATGGAAATAGTGCAACAGATAAAATGTAGACACACACACACACACACATTATTCAGTCTCAAACAGAAGAAAATTCTGCTAATCAGGACATTGTGCTAAGTGAAATGAGACAGGCACAGGAAGAAAAAAATACTGTATGATCTCACCAATATGTGGAGTTTTAAAAGTCTAATTCATAGAAGCAGAAAGCAGAATGGACGAGGGTAACAGAGATGCTGGTCAAAGGATACATGAGGGCTAAAACTGGATCCACTTCAAAGGCCACCACCGTTGGTAACACTGCTGTATTCCTGAAATTTGCTAACACAGTAGATCTTAAGTGTTCTCTCACACATACACACACACACACACACAAAACACAAATGT